TATTGCTTGCTGATATTATCCTCATTCAGCTCAGCAATGCACAAGCCCAGTAGTTTGAGGGTTTCTTTGGTTATGAACATTGGATATTTGGTTTCTAAGAGTTCTTAAATAAAATGATGACCTTCACCTTTAACTCTTGGGGTCCTCCTTTGAATCCACACTTTGGTGGCATAATGCTGCATAGATTGATGGGTAGTAGTCTGCTGTCCAAGCTTGTATCAGTGCAGACTTTGCAAAAAGCCAAAGAGAGACACTCTATGGTCTCACGGATTTTATGGAAATGTGACTGCAAGTCCACATCAATAGCCATTTTTCCACTGTTGGGCCAGAGCTAACAACTGGCCGGGCGGGCCAAATAGCCTCGCATCTCAAGCCACGAGGCCAAAATCATGCTGCGTTTCCACTGTCGGACCTACTCTAAACTCGCCCTTAAAGGGGTAGTTTACCCTCAAATGAACATTACCAAATTATTTACTCACCCTCAAGTCATCCTAGGTGTATATGATGACTCTTTCAGGTGAATACAATCGGAGTTGTATTAAAAATGTCCTGTAGTCCAATAAAGTGCATAAATCCATCATTAAAAAAAGTACTCCACACAGCTCCGGGGAGGTTAATAAAGGCCTTCTGAAGCGAATCGATGCATTTTAGTAAGAAAAATATCTATATTTAAAACTTTATAAGCTGTAATCTCTAGCTTCTGTAACTGTCGTACATGTGTACACGAGAGAGTGATGTTCCAGTGGATGATGTTGGACGTAGGCGAATGCGGTGAAGAACACAGAAATGCAGTGGAGAGAGCAAAACAAAACAAAGTGATACTAAGCAAAATATCAGTGATACTAAATCAAACTGATATTTATCATTTCATATAAAGAGAACACATACTTGTTTAGTCGTAGCTGTTTCGTTTATTTGTGATGACAGGAATACACAAAACAGCTCCATTAGGGCTTTTACTTCCAAATGCATACACGTATAACACAGTAGAAAATGATTGATAAACCCTCACATGTTTGTCAAATTTCTTTTGAATGAATGAGCATTTATATTCATTTTCCACAATGTATGGAATGTATGGGGGAGGGGGATATATATGCAAATTCATTCTCTGCCAGCAGGAGGCACTTTTCGAGTGAGAGAGATAGAGGTTTCCCCGGTAATGCTTTACACAAATCAGTGTAATTTGTGTAAGGTTTCCTTCAGAAATACAGTGATATAAAAAATTTTGAAATGTGCAGTGCTTATGTTTATTCAACGAAGTCAAAGCCTTTTGGGAAACCTATTTGTGGCGGTCAGTTTTGATATTGTGGCGGCCCACCACAAATAAATCACTGTATGGGAAACACTGTAGCCTTTAGCATCACGTATAATACATTTCTGCCTCATACCCTTAACTTTAAAACAGCTTATTTGGGCCAAAAAAATAAATAAAAATACCCTGGCCGTTGGCCCCAAGGAAGTCCCGACGAGTCCTGATCAAGTCCCGGAAGTGACAGTGGAAACGCGACTGTCCCTGGCATGCATTTTGCATTAGCAAGTTCGCTTTTGGCCCGACAGTGGAAAAGTGGCTAATGAGTTGTTTTGCATAGTGCCTATATGACTACAAAAAATGGTGTCATCATGGAGCGGCACCATATTACATCTGTCTTTGCTCTTTGGGTGCTTCGCTTGAGAGCACAATGACTACACAGTTCAGCCCTTATGGGGTTTAAAAGCCAATTCACACCACACCGACAAACACAGACCAACTCCGACGGTCACCAGATTACATTATATCACACCTAGACATTCCAAGACCTGACAAACACCGATTCAACATGTTCAATAAATGCCGACCACTGGCAGCAGATGCCAACAGGGATAACACACTGATCCGACAAAACCAGACAAATTTGTCTGTTGCCGTTTGTCTGTGTCTTTCGGTGGATGCGGCGTGAATTGGCTAGTGTGAATGTGCAACGTTTGCCAGACTAGATCTTTACCCAGTAGAGCACCCCTTGTCAAACAGAGCCAGACTTTGGACACTTGGCCTCCACTTTGCAGTTTATTCTTGCTAGGAACCGCTGGTTTAGACATGTCTGAACAAGATGCAAAGCATCCAACAGGTTGTTTGGAAATTGAGAGACAGTGCATTTGTAGGGTGTTCAATAATCAAAGTATCAGTAAAATGCACTGATAACAAAAAGGTTTAAGGAAATTGCTGTTTTTATATGGTAGTGTAATACCCAGTGATCAGAAATGCAATTTATCCACTAAAGATTGCATTGAGTCAGAATATTTCCCCACCATTATCAGTATCCTGGGCCGTATCGTCTCTAATATTGTGTGAAATTGCTTGAGCTCAGTGTTGAGGAGGGAGAAAAGGCGAATAAAGCCAGCCATTAGGATTAAGTGGTCTGAGAGAGATAGCTTTATGAGAGAGGAGAGAGAAGGCCAAATCAATACGGCTGTCACGGTGGACGAGGGCCTTCATTGTGGGGTCTGCACACACTTTCTTGACTTCGACTTACATCATATATCACTCACCCTATAGGTGTAGTGTTTGAATGAATGAGCATTTATATTCATTTTCCACAATGTATGGAATGTATGGGGGAGGGGGATATATATGCAAATTCATTCTCTGCCAGCAGGAGGCACTTTTCGAGTGAGAGAGATAGAGGTTTCCCCGCGGGGGTAGAATCTCTTGAGGAATCTCTGAGAACATAGAGGAAACACCAACTCTTTCACCTCTTGGTTTTCCTTGTCTGTCTTGTAAAATTGTCTCTGTTGCATGCTTTTTGTGCTATTTGCATCATCTGAGTCCCAGGCCAGTTGCCAAATGCACTTGTCATGTCGCTTATAAACTGGGGAACGGATGCCTCATGCAATAATAATAGAGATTAAAGTAGTGCCAGACGCTGCATGTGTACAATATGGAGGACAATAATCACTTTTACTTCAGGATTTTTGAACTCCCTAATCCTGAGTATTAAAATTCAGGGCATCACTTGTCTCAAACCATTTGAGCTACAGCAAGTATGATACCTCTAATCATGTGGCTTGTTGAGGAGAGGTGAGCTATTACATTTCTAAGAATGATAAAACAGTTGAATAAATTAAACTGAAGGAGGGACCAGAGCCACGGGACCAGAATATCATAAGGTCACATTGGGGTGGGCAATAGGACCAAAATCTTATATCATGATGGGTAATTTTGTTTAATGGAAAGGATATATATCACAATATAGTTATTTTTGCTTTAAATACGCTTTTTATGGTATCAAAATTTTTGATACCATGGAAATTTCATAATTCTTTTCATGTGTCAATGTCACAAAAAACCAAACTAGCCTAAATAAAAAAATACAAATAAAAAAGTCAAGCTCA